GTCTGCTGACAACTGTCTAAGTATTTCCAGTGGTTGTCCCTTCATGTCCCACTCTCTGACACCAATTTGTTACGTCTCCGTTTGTTAATTAATTTTCCGTAAATTTGTTCCGACGAAACTTTAGCGACACAAGTCCTATCTTAAATAAAACTGATTTATTTTTTCCGAAAACATCTTTACGATACACTTAATTTCAACAGTCGCTCTATAAAAACGCTATAAGTCACGTCTCACGTGGCCAACAATATTTTGTCCCCATACATTCAATTACTCATTGCCTCCGCGTCTCTTCGTGGCCGGTCTTATATATACAAGACTACTATATCTAGTAATCTCCCGACAATTCACGAAGGTTCGAGAAGGACGTGGCGTGATACTAATCACGTGACCTCGCTGATGCAACACTATATATCGTTTCTTATGTCACTAAAATTGTTAAGAGTCGTATCCTTAGTGAACGGTTTAGTCTAACGCTTGTAGAATAATTGTTGTCAATGTAGTAAATTCTGAAATACTCCCAGTAGTTAGAATTACTCAATTTATTTAACTTTGTTTATACGTACAACTAGTCTGAACATGTATAATATGTTTTTAAAGTACTTGATATTCTCTACGTTTTAAAAACACATTATGTTAACCTAATATAATGAGTAAAAAAAACTGAACTTTTTATGTACAATTGTTTTATTTTGACAGTTAATAGCGCTCGTTTAACATTAAATATCCAACATTATAACAATGTCTTTCACCATTTGTATACAATATTTGATGAGTATATATTGTATACGATAATATTACTTTTGCTAAACAAAAAACATGGACCACCAAAAAAACACCAATTTTCTTTAAAATAGAATATTCGTTCTCATATTCTTATACACGATATTGCATAAAATAACTCTTTAAATTTAAGTTTGATATACACATAGAGATATAGATCACGAAGTAATATTTAATAAACAAATAGTTTATCTTGAAATTAAACAAATAGGGGACAAACAGCTCTTCAGAATCTGTAACCAGTTTATCAAATGATTGTACGATGACATTATTACATTCATTAGCATTAGGACAGGTTAGAAAGTAATGCTTAATTGTTTTATTTACATTTAAAGTGAGGCACTTTTTCAGATATACTTCCAAAGACTCTAGTCTCAAGTAGGGAGATTACAGAAAAAAAAGGAGGTAGATGAAAAATGTCGTTAAGCAAAATTCATATATATATATAACTACGTCGTTATACTCATTTTTGTACACACAGATACAAAGATTATGTGATTGAGCTACTCAAATGTATGTCTTTAATAGGCAGCTGTCACACGTTAAATAATTATATAATTTTATACAGGTTATATAAAAACAAATTCTCGGCTTTAGTTTCGATCCAGGAAATCTGCTACATCTTAGTCTTAGTTTCTAGTCTTTATCCAGGTCGTATTTGGAATTTTAAAAAGTTGGAATCTGACAATTCTCACCAAAACAACCCGTTCCATTTGTTTTATATTAGACATTAGGAGGCTGTTGTTGTTTCTCTAGTGTAAAGCTACGTAGTACGGTATCTGTCCACCGCGGGAAATCGAACCCCGGATTTTTGTGTTGTAAGTCTGTATATTTATCGCTGACCTACCGGAAACCACCAGGACGCATCCAAAGCATAATCAGATGAGAGCAGCCCTATGCATAACAATATTAACAACTTACCAATAGGCAGTTAGCTTGATGAACTAATTTACTCTGTGCTGATTGTGGATAATCATTCTGTAGAATAAATATAGAAAGTATCCATTTGTTACTTCAAAACTCTCAAGGAAAAAAAAAACGCAAAAGACGTCAAATATCCTCATTGCAATTTGTACCAATTGAGCCAGTGATAAATATTAAACTTTTAAGTGAATCATTATGTTAATTTCGGTTCAGTGGACATATGTAATGAAATCTTCGTAAAAACTCTTCTGTTAGTTATATTCTGTTGTGATATAACTTATAATGTATGTGTGAACGAATAACAACCTTCACTTTCGCAATCCAATAATTCTCATTTTCAATGTAAACTTTTGTTTGTTTCTTGTCAAGCACAAACCTGCACAGTAGGTTATCTGTGCTCTGTCCACCGTGGGGATTGAAACCAGAATTTTAACTTTGAAAGCCATTAAACTTATTGTTGAGCCACCAGGAGCATTTAATCTAAACATAAACGTTTGGAGCAGGTACTTCCTGACGAGGGTCTTGAGTTTTATAAACGAAAATTCACTTCATATTCCGTAATAGCACAAAAACAGCATACGGAATATTTTTTATCTTTTTTAAGTATTTATTATTTATAACTTTCTACCAGGATCACTCATAATTACATAATTATTAGACATTAGATTTGATTTGATACACACAACAATGATGATAGTCGCGAAGATTTTTAAAACACGGAAGTAATAAAAATACAAAACACAAAAATCAAGTATAAATAACTTGTAAAAGGATTAACTTGAGCTTGTCATGCACACTTCATAGATACTTTAGAAGAATCATCTGACTTTTGTGTAAAGTCTAAGAAAATCTGTTTAAATAAATATATATATATAAGCGCGAATGTCTCTCTCTGGACCCGGCATGGCCAGGTGGTTAAGGCACTCGACTCGCAATATGAGGGTCACGGGTTCGAATCCCTCTCACACCAAACATGCTCGCCCTTTCAGCCGT